GAACCTGGGGCTCCAGCGCTGCGAGGCTGCAGTGCAAACCACTGTGCCAGCAGACTACCCGCAAACTCCTTGGAGACTGTAATCGCACAGAATGGATTCTGATCCACACATCGGGCAGGGTGTGATCATTACTCAGACACAACACAGCCTTTGTAAAGGCCTTTACAGTTTCAATAGGAAGAGTTCTGCAAACCAATGAAGGTGGAGAGGTATATACCACACACTATGTGCATTACATGAGGTCTTACAAGGAGAGAACTCCTAAGGTTTTGGGAGCTTCGCAGATATCTGTATAAAGCTTGTACGTTCCTGCACTAGACTGTGCCCTTGAGGTCTGATGCCCTTTCCAACAGCCACCCTTTGCACAGCGGAGCAGGGGCAACAATGACCAATGGAAAGGTGGTGTCGAGCACTGCGCGCTACCTCCCAGAGCTCAGATTCCAGACAGCAGTGATTAATGCACTGTTGTGTCAAGAGGCTGCCTTGGGTAAATCAGAAACGGAGCTGGGAGTGGTAGCAAGGCATGTTTGGTTACTAGCAGTGCCTTGCAATCCGCCCATTCTTGTCCTGGGAACTCTGAATCCTTGCAAAACCAGGCTTGTGGCTGGAACAAGCTGTTCAAGCACAGAAACGGAGTTCGCAACACGTTAGTCACAGCTCTGCTTATGACACAGTAAACTGCTAATCAGGTCTCAGATTTGTTTGCTTGACAAAAAAGACACAAAACAACCAGTCCAGACCATGCTTACAGATTGCAAAACTTGCAATCTTTAACCTTTGACCGTCTAAGAACAGCAGTCTGACAGACAACCAGGACTAATCGTCACAGCAGCATCAGCTACAGTGTCAACTCATCAGCGAAACAGCCAATACTGTAAGTGACGAGGAAGGTAACCATGCTCTCAAGAGAGGGCCAATTCTACATAATACATTAACATTGATTAGGATCCTTTATTACTATTTCACACTTCACACAAAACAGGCACAGACTTGCCAGCTTCCCCATTTTAAACTCATTTTAATTATTTATTTTTTTACCATCAGCGTTTAGCTTCTCAAATGAGGAAATATATTCTTTAACAGCGCTAGTCAACTGCTGATCTTGCATACAGGCCAAATGACTCATTTTTCCTTAATAGGGGTATTAATAAAAGGTTCCCTGTCAGCAGCTGTGCACTGACATCACGACTGTAAAGTTCATCCGGAATCCAGAGTTTGCAAACAGAAAACAACCACAGAGAAGGACACTAATTACTAGTTAGGTTACGCATATTTAATTAATCTAATCTGAAGTCACTGATTTAAGATGTGTTGATTTGATGCCAATCGCTCCTGATGGAGTGAAAGAATTGATCTGTGCACTGAAGGACAGACACCGCTGAGGTGGACGGGAGTGGACAGGTAGCAGAGCAGCCACGTCCGGTCACACTGCGGCCTGCGGTGCCTGCAGCCCCCGTTGCCTTGGCGATCTCCGGGCCTCCAAGGAAAGCAGCGCTGCGCACACATCTAACGTGGCGCGGAAAACGTCCCAACCCAGCCATTAACATTTCTTCTGGTCTTTCATCACGTCAAGCTCTTAATTACAGCCCTGGGGATGACTCGAGCAGGGAGCACTGCCTACCCCCCCAACACCACCCCCTGTCTCTGCAG